ACTTGGGTATATTGCATTTCATTTCCACACGTGCCTTTACAAGAGAACTAAATCCCTGTAGAGTGAACGCTGGCTGCTTGGTGCTGCCCTAAAATCCCACCCAGAGCAAAGCAGGGTCACTCTGCCCCTCTGTCCCAAGTGTCACCTCCCCAGTGAATGAGTGTCACCCCTCAGGGGTCACAAACACGGTGTGTGAGAGCTGTGAGGCACCAGAAGGCTTTTGGGGTGACCTCTCCATGGGATATCTCTTCCCTCGACTCAGAGGTGTTGTGGCACCCCAAGACCACTTGATGCCTCAGGTTTTAGCTTTCATATTTTCCATACTCTGCACTGCATTGGTACATAACTCTGAACTTCTGATAAAGTGTCAGCAAGTTCTCCTCAAAGCTCAGGCAATCCTTTCCCAGCCCCAGAACCAAGGAAACCGCTGCAGCTTTGGGCCCAAAAAGTGCAAACAACAGCGAATTGAGGAGAGCAGTCTGGGAGGATGGGACTGCATCACCTGGAGCTGGAATAGCACAATTGACCCCAATATGGAAATGGACCAGAACTGATGAAAGTTTGAACTCGTGACTGGTCATCCATCTCAGGTGCAGCCTTGACTGGGTTCTTGCACTGCCCAAGGTGCATCCTTTGAGGGCCTTTTAATAAATCCCCACTTTAACTCTGTCCAGCCTCTGTTCCAGGCACCTCTCAAGGCCTCACCCTCAGCTGTGGCTGAGCCGAGGGGTCTCTGCTGCCCTCAGGACTCCTTGGCAGCTGTGCTGGGTCACCCTCAGCCCCCACAGCCCAGGAAGCTCCATCACTCTGGGGCTGATAAGACAAACAACATCAGGCCACGTTTCCCTTCCAGCTGGAGAAAGTGCCCAGATTCGCCTCCCTCCTGCTTGCCCGCAGAAATGAGGCAATTGGGATTTATCTCCTTTTTAGTGTACTTTCTGATTCAATCTGATTATCCCAGAGCTTTGGCCTACCACTCCTAACCTGGATCCTTGGCCTTCTTCTTTGTGAAAGGGTGTTTTTAGCTCCTCGGCCTACTTTTAACCCTCACAGATAATCCCTCTGCAGCACTTGGTGAATTGCCAGCAGGATTAAAATCTGCTGGGGTTATTTACTCTCCTAATGAAATGCAATATACCCAAGTTTATCAGGTCTAATTAACACTCTGTCCGCAACATCTCTCCTTAGCTGATAATTATAAAATTTTAAAAAAATCTCCACTCTCCCCCAGCCACCCCAGCCATTAGAGAGGAAATGAATTTCAGTAGGGTTTGTTGGGTTTTTTTTTTCCTAGTTTTATTACTACAAATAGATCTCTTCCCAAACTTCATGCTGGCTCATTCCTCCTTCTCTAAATGAATTGTTGCCAGGAGTTGTCTGACACTTTTTAGTTTTATTTAGGTTTGGCTGAAATGGGATGTGGGTGATGAGTGGTAACTCAGCCCACCCTTGGGCCACAAAAAGAAAGTGGCACAGGCTTGGCAGGGGAGTAGAGATGGGCAATCCCTGGGAAGGGCTCCTGAGGGCATTTGGGAGAAGGGAAATCGGGTTCTGCCTGAGCACTGAACCTTTCTATTCCAGCATTTCCTGGACAAGGGCCTGCAGGGACAGGACAAGGGGGAACGGATGCACACTGCCATCATTAAACTGTGAGGGTGTGAGGCCCTGGCACAGGTGCCCAGAGCAGCTGTGGCTGCCCCTGGATCCCTGGCAGTGCCCAAGGCCAGGCTGGGCAGGACTTGGAGCAACCTGGGACTGTGGAAGGTGTCCCTGCCATGGCAGGGGTGAAACAAGATGATTTTTTAAGGTCCTTTCCAACACAAACCATTCTGGGATGATGCTGTGCATACACCTGGCAAGGGAGCAGTGACACTAAGAGTAGGGCACTGAAGTCAGAAGAAAGGAATTCCTGCTAGCTGAGAAAAAAAGCAGGTTTGAGGAAAAAGCAGGTTTGAGGAGGTCTGGCAGATGTCGACATCAGGGCTGGCTTTGGTTTCCAGTGCTTCTCAGTAGGCCTTGCTGCACCATTTTTGTGGGTGAAACAAGTCTGACACAGGGATCCTGGAAAAGGACTCCAAGGTTGCTTTACAAAGTCTGGAAAGCCTGTCTTAACTTTTCACTGTCACAGCTGCTGGTGAAACACTAATATATTTGTAATTCAGAAGAGAATAACTCCAAATAAGCACTGCAGCCTCTCAGAAGCCCTCATCTGTGCTAGATTACGTCAAGGGCTCTTGAATTAAACAAATCTGAAGTTTCTAGGCCAAGCCATTTCTGAGCTATGACATGAAAAAGCATTAGGAGATGCTTCAAACACTCTGAATTACACTTATTTTCCCTAAGACCCATGTCTCAGAAATGGATTGTCTGATACGCCTCAGGTTTTGACAAAAACATTCCTCCCCTGGCTTTCCACCACATCTGCACAGTCTGAGGATCTGTCCAGCTTTTTGTAGGGCTCCAGCAGCAGGGCCAAACCCAGACATTGGGCAGCTCATTTTGACAGGGAGAACAGGGAAAGCCAATCTTTATGTAATCCCTTTGCAGCCCCCCTGCACTGAGCCAGCAGCTTCTCATGCCCTGATTGCCCTGCCAGCTTTTCCCACAGCATTTTGGTAGTTATCACTTTGTCATCTTGATAAACATCCCAGGTTTAGGTTGGATGTCAGGGCAAGGTTCTTCCCCAGAGGTGCTGGCACTGCCCAGGCTCCCCAGGGAATGGGCACGGCCCCGAGGCTGCCAGAGCTCCAGGAGCGTTTGGACAGCGCTGCCAGGGATGCCCAGGGTGGGGTTGTTGGGGGGTCTGGGCAGGGCTGGGATTGGACTCAGTCATCCTTGTGGGTCCCTCCCAGCTTAGGATATTCCATGATTCTATGAAATAATAACTGTATGCACCAAAGTTTTTTTCCTTTCAACCTGCACCCCTCAGACTAAACAGAGGTTAAAAGAATTCCATGAAGAGATAGGGAAGAGTGCATGGACTCAACCTTGCCCACAGGAAGACATCACATCATCCAGACTGGCAGGTAATAGAGAATTTTTCTTTACACACACAGGTATAAAGAAATATACCTTCCTTCAGTCTGCAATGAGTGAAGCCAAGGATGGGGTACAGATTCAAGCCAGGGCTGCACCCGGTGGATGGAGAGAAGAATTCACCCTGTGTCTCTAAGATCTCCCCACCTCTGCCAGACCCAGGCAGAACTGGGCAAACTGCTTGTGCAAAACTTGTCTGATAGCACTTATCCCTCTTGCTGGAAAAAATAGAGGTGAAGTGATGGCAGGCACTTGGGCAGCAGAAGCTGCTCCCTATCCTTCCTGGTTGCAGCAGGATTTGAGGTTACTCAGCATTTTACTAAAGCAGGTACCGGTGTTGTTATAAAGGAGAGGATGTTGCTGCTCAGATGCCTGGAGGAGAATCCTCACCCTCATTTCTGATGAGCTCCTGCCAGGGAGCATTTAGGGAGTTAGGTGAAAGCAGAGACATCAGTATATTATCCATGTTCCCTTGCATTTATATCTTTTCCATTAGTGAACTGCTGGAAGAGACCCAAAATCTGATGCCACAGAGGAAAACAGTGACAAACAGAGAAAAAGTCTTACTGGGTTGATCCATCTCAGCACAAGGAAGGGCACACTCCAGATTTATCCCTCGTGCTGGGTGTGCTCCATGCCTTAACACCAACTGTGATGGAGCTAGACTGATTCCTTGAAAAACTCAGCTGTTGGAGGCTGAGAAAGAGGAGGAATGAGGAATGATGCTCCAAAAGAGTTGTTTCTCTGCTTATGATTTTCAGCTCCTGTCTAATCCAGAACATGTAGGAGATAGATAAGAAAGCAGGTGCTTAAAGAGGACCTTGAAGAGTCTCCCATGGCTGAGGGAGAGCAGCTCAATCCCTTGGGAGGTGTCTGTGGACTTCTGCACTCCTTGGGCTGGAGCAGGAAGGGAGGATGGAGGGTCCCCTGCAGTGGCCCTGGGATCATTTCTGGGTGGTCCTTCCAGAGAGCTCCTGGTGTCCACCTGTGAGTGGTCTCCAGGCTGGGACAGGTGCCCAGAGCCCTGGGGACACCAGCAGCTCCCTCAGAAGATTGTGCCGAGGTGGGGCCAAGGGAAGCCTGAAACAAGGAGGGGAGAAGTTGTAACTAAATTTGAAACATGCTTTTATGGACAAGGTCTCTCGGTGTAGTCCTGCAGCTTCATCCGGACTCGCTGCAGGCAAATCCATTGCCAAGGACTGTGTGGAAAAGATTTTGGGGTCTGTGTGGGAGATGGGTTTTGCTGAGTATTCATTTGCACTAGAGGGGCCTGCAGAGCCCAGTGCCCGTGACCCAAGGCAATGCCCTGCGAGCACCAGCAGCATCTCCCTCCTGCCCTGCAGCAAGATGAACCAGCCTTGGGAGCCTTTCATGGCACTTGCCTACATTTCATCCACGTCCCTGCAGACCCTGGAGCCCCCCAGCCTCCTCTGTAGCTGCACAGCTCCTCCCCAAGCCTTGGAGTGCTGAAGGAAATCTGGGCTGGTGTCCCTTAGCACCTCCTGGGCCAAGAGTGTGTCCAGGAGGAGGAAGTGGAGCCAAAGGAGACAATGAAGAAGAGGTGCTGGGCAGAAATGGTGGCCAGAGAGACCAAGGGAAGGCTGAGATGCCCCAGCACAACCCCCTGTGCTTGGCTCAGGGTGACAATCCAGTGCCAAGCTCTGGCAGGGGCCACACGGTTGGATGCCATGGTTATTTAACTGAACTTCAGCCTGGCTATTTATGGACAGGAATCATATCCAGGATCCAGGCTCCTCAAGGGTTTGAGTGCTCTTTGGGAATCTTCCAAGAAATGTCAGAAAATTCTGATTAGGCAAAATCAAGGTTTTATTCACGGGAGCCTACTGGGTGGTTCAGCTGCGGCACGTGAGGAATCTCTGATGGAAAGCAGAGACAGGCAGAGGCAGGGCAGGAGCTGCCTGCACAAGAGGAGCTCTTCCAGGCCAGGGAGGACTCCAGCTTGGGAGCAGGGATCCTTTTTACCCCCTGGGAACAGCTCCCACTGGATTCCATTGATGTTCAACCCCATCCCTGAGAGCAGCTGTCCATAAAGGCTCCATCAGGGAGGTGTGTTTGAGGATCACACCATTGGAGAACTTCTCCAGCTCCCACTGGACCAGCTGCAGGAGGCAAGGAGAAGAAAATGAAATATGAGAACAAACTAATAAATCCAGCTTGCTGTGAATGTTAGGGAAAAGCTGCAGCTTGAGGAGGTGGTGCAAAATTCTCCTCTACAGCAGCCCTGAGGATTCAGAAATTAGGAGTTCTATCTCCCCAAACTGGGTCTCTGCCTTACAAAAACAATCCATGAGTATTTATCTGTATCTCAGTGTGAATAAAGGATGGAAAGGGGCTTTAAGTTTTCTTTCTGAATTTTGAGGATCATATTTGAAACCTTTGCTCTGCAATGCTGAGGTTTATTTTTTAATTGGTGGCTGACACTGCTGGGCAGGGCCCAGCTCCAGGAACCACAGCTTCCAAAGGATTCTTGTGATGAAAAAAAACAGCAACACCAGTGGAGATTGTCAGCATTCACAGAACCAAAGAAGGATTTAATTTGAGAGACAGCTTTCAAATGAACTGAGAGTCAGGTGTATAAATAGGGTGCCTTTGAAAAACCTTGTGGAAGGGAAGGATTTACTTTCTTCTTTGCCAGTTAAATACTTCCCTCAAATTCATCTGTCCCAAAATTAGGCAGGTGAGTGGTAGGAGCTTGGCTGGGATCTCAGTCCAGGCTGGACACCCAGGCCTGCTGAGGTACCTGCACCATCTGTAGAGAGGAGGAGCTGTCAGGGGCAATATCTCCTGCACGTGGGATCTTCCACCATCAGGGAATCCTCGGCACCTATTCTACACTAGCATCTCATCCTACAGTAAAGTTTGATGTAGGATGATCAGAGCCTGACATCTTTGCAGGCTGAGGTCTCTCCTGGAAACTGCCTCTCTGGATCTGCTCTCATTTCAGCTTCAGCTGGGTCCAGCAAGGGAAAAGAGGCCAACAGGGAATGCAGTCTGCAGCCTGCACTAGATGGGTGCCAAATCTCACAAACAAGCTCAGCCTCAAGCTTAAAATGCAACATTCAGGGAGGCAGATATGAAACTGGGATTTATTGCCTATATGGTCACTTAATCCCAGAGTGGTTTGGCTTGGAAGGGTCCTTAAAACTCATCCCATTCCACCCCCTGCCATGGCAGGGACACCTTCCACTGTCCCAGGTTGCTCCAAGTCCTGTCCAGCCTGGCCTTGGGCACTGCCAGGGATGGGGCAGCCACAGCTTCTTTGGGCACCCTGTGCCTGAGTTTTACCACTCTCGCTGTAAAAAAATCCCTTCCTTATATCCAGCTCAAATTGACCCTCTTTTAGTTTAAAACCACTGCCCCTTGTCCTACTTCAACAGCCCCTGCCAAAAAGTTTGTCCCCATCTTCCTTATAGAACCCCCACAAGTACTTCATCCTTTAATCCTGCTGAAATGAAGTGGGAACGCCCCTCTGCAAAATCAGACCTTGAAAAGAATATTTTGCCACCAATTTTAGCAGGGCAGGGCGTCCTGAAGGGCAGCCTCCCACCAGAGGCAGAACCCCAGGCTGCCAGAGCCCTGCCCCACAGCCATGTGAGCTGCTCTACCCCCTGCTCCTCCCCAGGTACAGATAATTACCTTCCCCTAATTGCCATCTCCTGGTCATTAGCTATGTGAGCTGTTTACCCCAAAACACGAAGGCAGGGTAGGAGTGCTTCATCCTAGGAGAGGGTTAATCTCCCGCTGGATGCAGGATGCCCTCATGGGAATGGAATGTGTAGTGTTGGTAAGTGGTTGTGCCCCAGAAGCCTTTGAGAGCCCACTGACTACTGCATGCTAACGATTGGTATTATTAAAGAACAATTGATGGCCTGTAACCAAACAACAGAAACTAATTACTGGAAAACTTTTATTGTCCTTTAATTACTGGGCCTCTTTGTCAATTAGCAGAAGAGAGAGGGAGAGGGAAGAGAGAGAGAGAGAGACTCGTTTTATAGCAACAATAAATTTTCCAAAACTACAGTCATCAGTAGCTGCAGAAGCGAGTCTATTAACACACAATATTAAGGCCTGATATTTACTCTGGCTGCTAAATGTAGGTGCTTCTCTCCTGAAAAAGTGCAGAGCTCTAGGAATACTAATCAGGGGGTTCTTGCTCCGGCTCTGCTGCTGCTTGGCATGACAGCTCTCACTTCCCAAGGAATTTTACCCCTTGACCAAAGGGTTTTTTCTCCAAGGCTCCTCCAGCAAACTGGCCCCGTGCCCACCACAGAGCATGGAAACTCGGGGAGACTGAGGGTGGGAGGGAGACAGGGCTGGGCACTCCAGGGACAAGGATCCAGGCAGGGCCAGCTCCTGCTTGTCCCTGCAATGTTCTGTGGGTGCAGGTGCGTGTGGGACCCACCACCCCATCAGGGTTTGGCTGCATGGACCCATCTGTATGTTCTGCTCCTTGGTCCTGGCTCACCAGCACTATCCAAAAATAGTTTATTCAACTTTTTTTTTTCAATCTTTTCTCATCCACTGCCAAATAAATTATTTCTGGGCATATTGTCACAAGTAGTTAACCTTTTCTGAGGAGCTCTGAACTACAGTTACCCCCTGAAATGAATCACCATCTCTTTTCTGTCATTTGGCAAAGACTGCTCACCAATATAATCCTTTCCTAGTCGATTTTCTCTGATAAACTCGTTGGTGCCTCAGCCAAAGGAAGTGGTTTGGGGACCACCACTCCCCCTGTAGCATGTGAATCACCAGGGAACCGGTCCCCACGCGGGGCTGGGCTTTGCATCCCAAATGGTTTTTCCAGGATCCTTCTGCCACTGCGGAGATGTGAGAGCAGAGAGAGACACAAGGCCCATCAGCACTTTTCTCAGGGATGAGATGCTTCGTGAGACACAGTCATTGCCAGATTCCTAAAAGCTTCAGCTGTACTGACTTTCATTTGGGATGGGCTTTCATTTGGGATGGACCTTCCTTCCCCTCAACCAGGGCATCTGGATGTCTTTGAGTATTCAGGAGCTTCACGAGGTTTTATGTCATCTCTGTGGGCAGGGGCAGGGACAGAGCTTATTGGAAGGAGTTAAATCCCTCCCCAGAGTACCTGCTTTTAAAAGTACCTTATGAAAGAGCAAAGTTCCAACCTTTTTATCAGAAAACAAATATAATTTCCATTGCCGTCGGCAAACACCGGAGACGCCAGATTTTCCCGAATGTTGGCCGTGCCCACCCTGGCAGCCCCTGCTCCGTGTGCTCAGCACACTGAATCAGGGGATTCATGGCTGAGGTGGGATAAACGCTGGGGAAGTAGCTTAGAAATTTGTCACAGCCTGTCCTTACTTTATGTTGCTTGAATAGGCTCGGGGTTTGTGCTATCAGAGGGAATCCGGAGTAGCTCCTGCAGGTGACCTTAATAGCGACAGTAATCTGTGCTCGTTTGACACATCTATCCCTGTGTGATGATGCAGAGGAATAGCTAATCCTATAAAAAGCAAGCCAAGCTACATGGGATTTCTGGAGTTTACCCACAGGGTATTTTTATTCCATTTATCTCCCACATTTCCCTCCTTTCCCAGCCCGAGCACAGGAGAACGGCACACCTCTGTCCTCACAGGTGGTTTACAAACAAGGTGTACCTGGGGCTGCACACCCAGAGATCCTTTGGAGGCAGGAAGGGGCCATAAACTCCTGGATGAGGCCTTGGCAGGGGTCCCCAGGCCGTTATTGCGGAGCAGGGCAGGATGTGGGATCAAAGCAGCACCTGCTGCAGAGCCATCGAGTAACAGAGCCCCAGCACCACCCACGGGGACAGGTGGCTTTCCCTTCCCCCACCTTTACCCCTTCTTCTCTTCCTTCTCTATGCACTTTTTATTTTTTTCCCCCTTATTATTTTTCCTTTTCTGCTACTCACACCACTCCTTTTCTCTTCCTGCTTTGCAACTTCTTTCTTCTCTCTGAAAAATAAAGGTGAAGAATCTCCCTTTGTCCTAATTTCCTGGTAGGACTGATTTCAAAGCTCCTGAGAATTTCTCTCTCTGTGTTACACATGCACCTGGTACTGGCAGGGAGATGCACTGCAGAGTCAGTGACCTTAAACAAGTGGGGAAGTCCTTACAGCAGTGTGTATTCTTAGGAAATTGTACAAATAATGGTATCTAAAGTCAGGTTTCTGCCAGGATAGATGTTTCAGTGGAAAAACTGTTGTAATAGATTCTTGAAACCTGGGAGGAAAAGCAAGAAAAAACACATATGGAGAGAGCTAGGGTTATACAGTCACTGAAATTGTGTTTTGCCTTCACCCACCTCGTAGCCTTTTGTTCCCTGACTCCTCCTTCAAGGCCTGGGACTTGTCAGTGCTCAGAGAAAGGGTCTCTGTTGGGGAAAAATCCTCATTGCTCTGGGCAGATGCTGAAGCAGCCTGACAGAAAGAGCTGTAATGGTAAAGGAGCCCCAAAGGCCGAGGCATCCCATCCCCAGGGCCATGGCTGCCTGCCTCAGAGAGCTGTCTGCAGGTCCTGGTGCTGCCAGGGGGGTTCCTGAGCTAATCTGGGCTTGTTTTGTCCTCTCCGGTTTGCTACTCCTGCCTTTCATCCAGCCTTTCCCAGGAATGCCTGTCAGAGCCCTGTCTCCAGAAGCAGCAGAGGGGGAAGATGAGGCACGGAGGTGCAGCTTGTCCCACGGCACATTGGGGGATCCCATTCCAGCCCTTTCATCGCTGGGAATGTGGCACTGCCCATCTCAGCGCCTGAAGGTTCCATTTTCGACTCATGCTCCCACCACATACTCATCCCAGCCACGTGGCCGTGCCTCATGCAGGAGTTACTGCTAGAAACAAGGATTCAGGAGAGCTGGCACCTGCTTTCCCACATTTCCTGAGGAAAGGGACGTGAGCCAGGCTCAGTTCCCTGGCAGGGGACTGTAACCCTTGCTTGTACGTCCCAGCTGGTGGGTCTGTGGGAGCAAACCTCTGCTTGTCTCCTGAAGCACAGCTGAGAGCCTGACCTGTGGTTTGAGCACAGGAAGAGACACAAAGAGGCTCAAAGCTCAGTTCTGAAACACCGTGGTTGGGTGGTGTTTGTTTTTAGTGCCCCTAAAACACGGAGAAGTGACTGCCAGGAGAGGGATGGACACTGGAGAGACCATCCCTGCTAGGCAACAAGCAATTCCAAAAACCAATCACCTCCCTCTGAGGCTCTTCCTGAGGGGTTTCTAGCAATTCTGGCATTGAGCACCAGTATCAATCACATCCCCTGTCCTGGCACCTCTGCTGGCAGCAGAGCTCAGCACCAGAGGTGAGATCCGCACCTTCCCTGTCACACATCCCCTGCTCTCACAGCAGGGACGTGTGAACTTCACAGCTCTCTCTGACCCACTTCAACACACGTGGTTTTCTCAGAGAGCAGGAGGAGTGATTTCCTCCCACAGAGCTGCCCTGGCTCTCCCTGGCAAAGGACAAGGCTGCCTTGGGGGTCCGTGTTCCCCTCTGGAAGTGGTTGGAAGGGGGGCAGAGCTGCGGGGAGGCGTGTGAGACACGCACGGGAAGCAAAGGGGCACCTGCTCCACTCTGGGGCTGTTGTCAGGATGCTCCCCCCTCTTTTGACATTTTAGAAACCCCATCTCTAAATGGGACACGTGATGGAGAGATATTTGGGTTTCGCTTCTGAAACCCAGAGATTTTGTGCTTCGTCGTGACTTTTCACTGCAAATGAGAACAGGTCCCAAACCCAGACTCAAAAACCAGAAGGAAAATAAGAAGGATTTCCAATTAAAAGTGAAAACCTCATGACAGTTTGGCTGGTTTCATGGTTTGGGAACCTCAGAAGTTTTTAACATTTGGGGTTGGCAATACTTTTAAATTACAGGGAATAACTTGCCTTTTTATAGAGTCTTTCATCTGGAGGATCCCAGCCGGCTCCACCAGCTAAACCCACAGCTATCATCACAGTGACCAGGCCACTTGGAAGGTGAGGCTGGCAGAGCCAGCCAGAGGTTCCCAAAAAAACCTTTACAAAGGGAATGGGACCTTCTTCAACCCCACTTGACCAGGATTTGGCTTTCAGAATCATTGCAAATTGCAAAATGCCAGCACAGGTCCCAGCACCAGGGACACTCGGGTGACACCAGGGTCTTTGCAGCATGGGTCTGTCCTCCTTCCTGCTCCCTCAATAGTTGGTTCCAAACCAATCCTTTGCTGTTTTGCCTGGATGAAAAGGATATTCCATGTTTCCTCAGGCAGACAGCAGACTTCTAGCAGCAGACTTGATTTTTAGGCAAATCTGTCCCGTGTTGTCACTGAGTCAGAGTGGGAAAGCTGGGAGATGCTTCATATGCAGAGATACGGATGGGAGATAATTTTCAACACAAACAAACACATTATTTTGTTATTATGCAATAATGAACATGATTTACTGGTTCTATTTATATAAAATTAAATCATTAACTAATGAGACTACAATTTAATCTTAATTTTCACTGACGTTTTTAACTACAGGAAATTGCCAGAAACACACAAAATTCATCCTTTGCCATGGTTATATGATTCAGAGCCTGGGTGGCTCCCCCATGCCAACCTGAGGTCAGTAGTTC